TCTATCACGCGTATTTGCCGAACAATTTCATTAGAATGTCCAAAATGCATTCCAAAATCTAGCTAATTGAGTTTTATGACCTCGTGTAACTGAGGTAGCATTCCGCACTGGCGCTAGCTAAAAGCATCATGTGACCTGTCATTTAGGCGAAACTTTCAACGTTCTCGCCTTCGTTGGAACCGATCATATTGCAAGAACGCACTGTGTATAGGTATAAGAGGCGACCAGTTCCTACTCAGCCTTACGACAGTGTAACTTCACCTTAAGGACTGTTAGCGGGAATGTGTGAGTAGGATTCTCACATCAACCCTTGGCCATCGTAAACGTAAGTGGATCCACTTGACGTCATGGGACTAGTTATTGAGTATTTTATCCTAGTTTTGGCACTGAATGATTTCTCTGATTCCATCACTGTCTTGTATACATTTAAGCCATAAGTTGCTCATGTTGAATATTCTAAATAACTGTTATATACATTATAATGAAGGATCTGTACGTTAATTATATAGATATTATTCATAATTTGCACACCTGACTAATAATTTCTAATACATTCAAGCTCATTCATAGTGAAAATTAAAGCGCCGAACACCATTTCGGGAATGATAATGATAATTACACTGATAATCTATGACATGAGTAATCATTCTGTTTTATCAAGAATGTTACACATTGATATATATCCAAATAATTATCTTATCGTAATACTATTGCTACATTCAACAAACACAACGCAAGAAGCGATTCGTCTCTCCCCAGAATCATGCGCGTGGTTGCGAATGTATATTTGAAGTGCCAGCAGTAAATATTCTTGAGGACAGACTTTGGAGTTCTAGAAAGATGTTATTATGTCTAAAGACACTTGACAGAAGCGTCTTTGGCACTCATTCTATTACCAGTCGTGGAATGCCTGATATGCATAGTATGGTGACCGATGCATATTTTGGATAACGGTTATTCCACCAATTGGGACTAACGGGATGGGGTGGTCAGGTTCGCTGACTTGGTTGATGCATTTCATAGTATCGCAATTGCGTAGATTGATGCTCATGATATCAATTACTGGATTGTCTGGTCCAGACTCAGTTATTTAAAGAGCGCCGTCATATAGCTGGAATATTGCGGCGTTAAACAATAAACATACAAATTTTAGGTTTGTCAGCACAATCCCCGTGTTCGAGGGTTTCACCAAAGTGGTAAACGCCTGAGACGTGATGTAACTGGAATACTGTTCAAAGCGGTGTAGCCTGTGGTCAGCTGATGTAGATAGTGTTGTGACCATCTGTTGACCTTGTCATCGTGATAAGCTCCTTAAATGTTTATTTATCCATCAAACCTATTTTGGCCTCTATATTTTCACTATCAACATCTCTTTGTTTGTGGTATTTAGGTCTGTTTATTTGCGGAGAAGTAATCATAGAATCTGTATTGGTAGATATACACGTCTGATTACGGCTACTGTGCCTGGAGGTATTTGTTGAAGTTAGAATTTCCACTTTTCTGACAGTACATGTTTTCTCTAACTACTGGGGGTAATGCAAAGGCGGCTCTTATAATCATGTCTTAGCACCTTAGCACAAGGGCTAAAACTGCCTGACTATTATATACTGACAAAAAAACATACTGAGATAAAACATATTGCATTTGCTGATCCAAACAATGAACATAGGGAAATAGTTTCTTACTCACTGAGATGTATGTTTCAAGCTAATTGGCTTTGGAATTTAGGTCTTTTTTTTAAAATGTTTACATAACCATATTTATAAAAAAAACGTAAAAAGAATCATTTATTTAATTACATATCAAAGAACACCGCATTAGAAAGCTGTACGAATATTATATTTTAAACGGTCACAGTCTTGAGAAAAGCGCATCAACGTCACGTTACATCTGCGAATAATCGCCACTATTTGATGTAGCGATGTAAATGTTTGATGATTGTACGATATTATGATTATTAGAGTGTGGGTGTTGCAGTGGTTGCAGCCAAGAAGCCGTTGATGATAATCGTGATTTTATATAGCATACAGTAATAATAACAATGAAAATGAGCGTCATCTTTTGTCGATTAGACATTTTGCACGCTGTGCGTATGCGAACATCGCACTTAAATACATACAACAATAATGTCTTTCACGCACACGATGCACCAGTTCGTTATTACAAGTTCGCACATTGTATCTGGTAGATAATCGCGCAGCAGACGATGGGTTCTTGGAGACCTCCGCCCATTCACAGTCTAGCAGGAGCCATGAGTTAAGTTAATAGGCCGAGTTATGGCTGATCACGACGATATGAGTCATAGCCCCAAAGAATAATTCAGAGATGAGAAATGAATTTCCTTTCCTGGTATATATGCTTATAATTTATACAATGATGTATCGACATAATAGTATGCATTCTCACTTCGAGATAAACGAATTAAAAGTCCACATTCCACCTGATTTGTTTGAAGGGCCGAACATCCCATGGGAGATGATGGATTCTTGGCTATTCATGCTGAGGGTGCATTCCAATGAAAAACATATGCATGCCAATGATTCAACAAAGCAGGATTATTTTATTGATAAGAAGTAGAATCAATAATTCAGCCGGATAATTTATTCATGATTAAACATGGTGAGGTATATTCCAAAGAAAAATGTATTGACGCCAATGTTTCAACAAATTACTTTATTATATATTGGGCGATAGAATCAACCAACCGTCGTATCTGGGAGGGCGGATTCATTGTTAAATATTCTGAGGAAAAGTTCGAAGATTAGATGCTTAAATCATATCACTGTTTCAACAAAACAGGGTTATTTTTTAGCAGTGAAATCAGGTACTGTTTGGAGCCAAATGTTTTTCAATACAGCAGTGTTTAGTGGGTAATGGTATTTCTGACACACGACACCATATCTGCCAAGTAAGAGTGGCCGAAAACTGTGCAATAGAGGGTGCGTAATTTTATAGTCACAATACAGGTATGAATGAGTATAGGTCTATGTAACTGCACCCATGCAGTCATGCATGCAATTCATCAGTACAACCGGGAAATATATTAATATGCAAGTTTGAAATCAAAGTTTTGGGTAGTGTCGGAATTTAATCAAGCCCATATCAGATCTTTGTCTCATATCGCTGTTTTGCAGAGAGGGGATAGTTGGACGTGCATCACTACTCAGATGAACCGACTTCATGCTAACCACTGTGCTGCCAATATATAGTTATTTTACGAAACGTAAACTTAAACTAGTTTTAGTTTCGTATTATATAAAATACGAAACTAATATTTCACTGTTACTCTGTCTGAAAGGCCTGTATTACGAGCTACTTTTCAGTCCCAGACTGTTTTCACGCAAGGTTCGATGATTCAGTGGTCTATTGAGAATGAAATTGTCATTGAATCATTCGTTCAAGCCAACGCCTCGAAGATTTATTTCCCGATCGTCAAGACACAACTGATAACATATATCTTCATCAACCGATAATTTCGTTTGACGTTAACTTTGGTATTTCGTTTTCACGGGGTAGACGTCTTTTTTCACATTAATGAGGGTGAGGTGAGCGAGAGAACATACACTGACCTCATAAAAATATTTATTTAGGTGATCATCTAGATAAAAAAAAACGCGTTATACATGTATTGATGTCTGCATCATATTGATTTGAAGTTATATTATCCAGCAATCTTCAGGTACATCCGTTTTAGCTCAACCAAAGCACTTCTTGTGATGTAAACTTCTATGTAGCTACGGTCTATCGAGTACAAGTGTATAACCGCGCAATGCCCTCCATGTTCAGCAAGACGGTCATTGACATGACTAAATAGCCTACCGTGTGAAAAATGATCATCGTAGAAAAGATGGGGAAATTTGTCAAAAATGAATGCAATTGTCATCTGAGAAAACAATATGTGAAAAACGTGACCTCATACTTAATATCTATGGGATATTTGGGGATAGGACATTAGGCAAGAAGTGAGCATCCCCATGGGCACCCGTCCTTGCCAATCTGTTTCTTTATGCATACGAGTGACAAAAAACTCTGCACAAGACTGTATGACAAGAAGAAAAACTCAAACTTTCCAATTGTCAACTACCCTTTATGTCGATCAATATTCTAACAGTTTCAGCCTTTCACAACTTTTGAGATACATCGAGCATGCTCTTACTACGAACATTTCAAAGAGTGCCATGCGACTCTTACCCAAACGTTGTTTGAACAGGGTTACAACAATCAAGGCCTTAGTAAAACTGTCAGATCGTTGTTTGGTAGACACGTGGAGGACATTCCTCACTTTGACGTATCAGTGGCACAAATTATGTCCGATGCAAATACTTATTTTGACCTGTATCATTGACGTAGTCGGAATCGTAAAATGAATCCTTTCTTACGATCATGGACTTTATGCTTTTATTTTAGTACAGTGTATTTCTATATGACCATGCAAAGTTCAGTTCGAAAGCTGAATGTGTATCTCAGCATACATGTACAGTAAATATCATTTGAACTTGCCAGCCCTAGCTTACATGGTGTTCAAATGGGACATCCGTGTATCGGATTTAGTTTAAGTCTTCAGTGGATTTGATATTTGGATATAATTTGGGTGCTCATGTATATATATAGTACGAAGCATGTTGGTATACCACTGACATAGTCTTATTCACGTATTGTGACTGCTACCAGATGGTACTTTTACGAACGCTTCAAATTACGCACGGATCCTTTAAAACGAATTCCTGATTACATTCCACATCTTTCAAAACATACGCGTTTGGTGGATAGTATATACAGATTAAGGAGTTTATCTCTCAATTATGATCAACATACATATGTTTACACATTCACAGGTATCCCATTTCAGAGTATTTTATCTTTCTTTGCTTGCAGTTTTCGAATTGGTAATGTCAGAGCGACCAATGAACAACATTCTTATCAGCTGTTTATTTTGGTCTGCTCTCCCCTGCAAAACATTTACTTGACATAAATATTAATTATGTTTTTCTTTCTTTCAGACTGAATGGCAACAATGTGTCGCCATTTGCTGACTGTGATATTGGGGCTTCTGGCTTGTTGTCTAGCTCAGGACAGTAAGTACCACACACTGTTTTACATATCTAACTTTCATAACGCTGGGCATTGTTTTGTTTATATTATATCGCGTTGATAATTTATTTATTTAACCAAGTGCTTTCACTTCAAATCCAAATATTTAACATCTATCGTTATTTTAGAAGCTAATCGCATTCTTTAATTGCATGCGGTCAGTTTGTCTCATGTAACTTGCTGACCAAATACACCAAGATTGTCAGTAGCAAATGTTTATTAATATAACTAACAGATGTATAAAGAGCATTACAATTTAAATTTTTCATTTACACGTTACCTTCATATTGCTCTAACACTAATTTGTCCGGCCCATACGCCATTATTTACAGGCCACCGTGATATAGATTATTGCGGCGTACAAAAGAAACAGGCAAAGTTATTTTCGTTAAACTCATTTAAGCTTTCATTACATCTTGTTTAGGCCACTAAACAAATAATTGATTTGGAGTGGACTTGTCTGTTTATGAAGAAAGACGACTCCAGCACATATATGTATTCATTCAACCATCCTTGTAAACAATCATGGTAATTCCTATTTGGGTTAGAATGAACGTTTAGTTCAAGTGTTAGAATTAGTTTCCGCTTGAGGTCGTCTTCCCACGATATCGGGATCATGAACGCTGCTCGGGCAGTTTTCTTTTGCGGTAACAGTTGCAATCGAAATTCATGAGGGTCACTTCTCAAGGACTTGATGCTTTAACCATGCCACCTTGATGGAGAGTAACGTTTACCAATGTCACGATCGGATCATAAATGCACATTTATGCCAATGAATTAACAAAATTGGATTTATTAACGATAAGTGTATGTCAATGTAATGGAATACAAATATTGACACAGTTAAAGAATGTCACGTTATGCACATAAATATGTTTGCCCCCCAAAAGCATGACAGACATTTTTCACATTAAGTGTATTTTAGCCACGGACAACTTCAATAGTTCCATGACCAAGTTGGCATAGTGAGGTGCGCCTTTGTTTTCCCAAAATGAAGATGAAGCCGCGACGTTCGACAGACGTCTTCGGACGGCAAAGCACATTTTCCAGGCGACTTCCAAATACACAAACATAATTAATCAGAACAATAATTCGTTAGTCCACACGATTACGCTCGGGACAGTGCCAATCGATTTAACGAGATTTCATTGCAATTATTCTTAACAATTTTCAACTTTTGGTCTTCTAAACGCCCAATCTTGAGTGAGTATGGTATTTATTAGGCAATAGTTCGCAATTGTCCAGCATTATTTGGGCTGGTGGACACCTTGAAAGGGTTTGACAAATTCTACTTATGTAGGAATCCAAGCCTTCGGCGTTAATTTAAGCAAACGACATAACCACCCAAACTTACGTTGCATTAAATTTAACTTATTTTATCTAAAGCAAATTTGATTGTATTCCATAATCATACTTCATATGCAGTGAAACGTCTATCTTCCGGGGGAACACTACTGAGAACGCTAAAACACTCGGTTCCAAATTTAAAAAAGAGGTATCTGAGAAGTATGTAATCTACAGTAGGACTACGTCAAACTTCAAAGCACAAATGGTTATATTCCAAGTTTAACATGCAAAGAGGCCAGGACAGCCAAAGCAGGAATATGGGCTTTTGAAATAATGAGTTTGTATTTAATCATAAACATCAACCAACTCCTATCAGAATTGTTAGTTCAGTAAGGTTGACATACTTCCAGTATTAACCCGAGCGGTCAGGAATATATCTTTCTACAAAACAGAGGCTGTAGGGTCCTTAAATTAGATGATTTATCCACATTTAAAAATTACAGTTACGTATTTTGCTGACTACTTTATTTGAGGTTACAATATTCCCTTTGAAAAAAACGGCGTCCTCATTTTCGATTCAGATTTGTTTCCTGAGGGGACATTGCCAGTTGTGCCAAATGGAATTTCAGGTGAGTTAAACTAAAACCTTTCCAAAGTGTAAATAGAAAGTTCATTAAATTTCCAGATGTATGTTCTAATTATAAATGTTCTCAAATTTGACATGTGGATCACGTCCTTACAAAAGGTACTACTGTGAGATGTTGTTAATCCTGGCGGTACCGTTCCCAGTGAAATCGTTCGGACTTACACACTTTACGAATGCCTATATTTCTATACAGACCTCCCAACAGTAACTGTCCAGATTCTGGATTTTTCTGACACAGGAGATCCAAATGTAAAAGTAATATACGGGAACTTCATGGGAACTAAACATGAATTCGGATATTCGAAATTCGAAATGTTATCACTACCAGAAGATTTAAGACTAATAAACAAGTACGTGAGCAACCCGTGGCTATCTTATACATTAGACATGTATGGCAAGACACCAAACATTGATATGCGTTCGTTATAGCACGATGTTTCGTTATGTCCGACATTGTCATCCTCGTTTGACTGTGCCTGTAGCAAATGTAGAATGCGGAATGTTGCAATGTCTTTCATGTTTTATCTCACCAGGCTGTGGACAGACAAAGATTGACCTGGTGATAATATTAGATAGTGCAGCTCCACCAACGGTCTACACTGCTCTCAGGCAGTTTGCTAACGATGTCGTTGAGTTCGCCAGCGTTGATACCGGTAACGTCAGAGTCGCCCTGATTGGCGCCAGTTCAAGGGCAAGGAATAAGTACGTATTACAACCCACCAGCCCCCCCCCCCCCCCCCCCCCCCCCCCCCCCCCCCACACACACACACACACACTGTGAATGAAATTGGTCATTCAAAATTTTATGCCATTGGTTCAGAAATTTCTTTCGATCAGAAAATCTCGGAACAGTTGCGTCCTTTAGCTGATACAATGTAATGGTATTTGTGTTGTCAGCACCAGACGATGATCGTGTAGTTCTCCAAACTAGTTAACATCTGTGAGTTCCGTCACATCGGTCTCTCCTCACACATTTAGCTGGGACGTATGAATGTAACTGCAATGCTGTTCAAAGAGGCGTTATATGCAACTTATTCTTTGTTGGATTTTTTGTTATCCCGCTAACGATTGTTACAACCAAACCTAGGTTCGGGTTCGGCAAGTTCAGGACTCTGGACTCGGTCCAGCGGGGAATATTGTCGGCACCACAGGAAAGGGGGCGTCGCGACTTCTCCAAGGCCTTCATCCAGACACAGAGGTTCTTTAAGGGTGCCCGCGCAGACGCCGAAAAGTACGTCCTCCTTCTGACTGGTGGCAATTCACAGGTCAAGGCCAGACGAAGCGCAGGCGAAGCCAAAAAAATTAAGGCTGCAGGGATCAAGATCGCCGCCGTTGGCGTCGGTGTACAAAATGAAGGGGAGATCGACACACTTGTGACAGACCCAGCAGATGACCACAAGTTTCTCATCAACGATGCTGCTGACCTCGCCTTCATGAGTGACGTAGTTTACTCCACAATATGTACGTAGTTGGCAAACTTTTAAGTTTTCTGCTCTACGAGGTCAATAGCTTCACTTTCCTTGTTAATAACCGTATCCGGTATTACCGAATCTCTCGTTCCATAAAGGTTTCATTTGTATCGCTATTTGCATATTCGAAAAATGGAAGACGTCTGTTTTAGCAAGAAAAATAATAGGATAAAGTTGACGCTAAACTGTAACAGCATCATTCATTGATTGTGCACACTGGGTGTAGCCTGTTGCAGTGATATGTCGTTCTCAAACAAGAGTTTAACTCTTTCAGGCGGTTCCACGTGGAAATAGAGTAAAAACAATGTCAGTTTGAACTTTTATCTTGAACATAGTGGAAAATTCCTTTAGTACTGCAGTACATTTATACGCCATCTTAGGATTTGACTTGTTTTTGACTTGGACTTGTTTGTAAAATGTGGGAATTCTTTCGTGCTCAATTGAATAGTGAGTACTTTGTGTGTTACTTATAGTGTTACTGGGTTTTTTCACACAGCTAGTCTTGATTCAGTTCTTTCACAATTACTGTCAGTTACTGATCACAATACTGTTTTAGGTGGGAAAGGCGGTAACGGCGATGGCGGTGCATCAGGCTCAATTCAAGGTTTGTGTATTTACCTATGCATATCGGCATATATGCACTAATGAATCTTTATTTTAATTTTGCAAAGTTATGTTGTACCTCTGTGTTCGAACTCTGTAATCAATGTCACAATAGTTCAATTGATATTCCAACTAGGAAGTAACTTTGCAAGTAAGAGTTGCCTCCCTTGCACAATTGACAATTTTTTTTGTCGTCTGCTTACCAAAAGCCGCTACAAAATGTATGCGGGAAGTTTCGAAATGCATGTTTGAATCACGTTGGACTCACGTATAAATATCTTTACAGGTATCGGCACGTTTGTTCTAATTTCATCAGATTAAGAAGCAAATGGAGGTGGGGTTTGGTGTGGGTGTGGGTGAGGTGAGCGGGGGCGGGGCGGGGCGGGGTGGGGTGTGGGTAGGGGGTAAGTGTGGGTGGGGGGGGGTCTTAACCTCTCAGTTCAGTTGCATCACATGTGGGTACTTTAATCCACAGTAGAATGTCTTCCAGTTATGGCCTCTTTTTTTACATGAATTTAAAATTCAGTGATTTCTGATTTATTTTTGTTGTTGGTCAATTAAAATAATTAAATAAGAAAAGGTGGGGTTTTTTTATTGACATTGACTCTTTTGACCTGCCATATTTCCTCTGTGAAGCTGGGTCTCTGATGAATGACCAAGCTAGGAATTTGCAAATTTATACCATGATATGTTGGAGATTAATGAGGACCTTTTCCTGCTAATGTACTCTTATGATTGTAGAATTTTGGATTCGGAAGGTAGTAAGGTAACCGGGCCCCTAATCGATATCAGGTCAATGTCTTGCATGAAATTAATAGACACACAGGCATCTAATACGGGAAATATGTTACTTTAAAGGATTTTTTTCATTATTGGAATTAGTTAACAGATTTGCAGGGGAGGATAAAAGGACATCGCAATTTCAGTTTTATTCCACATTTTAGTACATTTGTGTCAAGGGATCCAGAAACGGAATGCCCAAGTGTCCCATGCTTTTCTTAAAGAACTTAAAGAGACAAAAGATGATCGATAGGCTGGCCAGATTTATTGACGATGGTGTGGATTGTTATCAGTCATTATTATCAGCTATGTCAAAAGATATAATGGATGAAACTCCTTCATAATGTTTACGCTACAGACTTTGTCTTACATGAGTCTACCTACAGGCAAACCGCCTCCGTGGTCTAGTGGTAGAGCGTCTGCCCGGAGAGCGGAATGTCCAATGTTCGATCCCCAGCCCCGTCATACCAAAAGTGGTTAAAAGATGGTACTTGTTAGATTTACCCTGCCTGGTGCTAAGCATTAAGGGGCTAAAACAAGGACTGGTTGGCTTGGAGTCGGTATACTGTGTCTGAGTGGGGTATTCATGTTAAACTGTGGCATGGTATCTCAGTGGGCTAGCACTATAAAATCAACATCATTCCAGACTAGTACAAGTAGCCACACATACACACGTGCATGCACGTCGCTCTATGAGTGCAATAATCTTAGAAGCGACGTTAGATCTCATTTCACCTCACCTCACCTCACCTCACCTCACCTCACCTCACCTCACCTACAGACAAAGATTAATCAATCCAAACCTACATGTATAAGGTTTCAAAACTACTGACAATTGCATTTATTTCTAATAAGGCCACACATTTTATATTTTTCATTTCATGGGCCCGCTGCCCCTACTGAAATAAATTCAACATAAAAATATTGTTTTAATATTGTAATATAGACTCCTCTTATACAATAAAAACTGTAATATATAAGTTCCATGTCTACATCACTATCAGTGATTCAATAAGCCAGCTGCAGTTTTAACCCCACAGCAGAATGACTTTCATATAAATAAATAATTACTAAATAAATGATCCTCATAGCTCTATCTAATTTTATACCCCCAGGCCCAAACCTAAAAGGGCGGGAGTATATAGTCTGAAGTGTGAAGTTTTATTTCAATATTTGGATTTTCTGACAATACAGCTTTTTAACATTTTTTAACTAAGATTTGTTTTACTTAAATATTTGTGTGACCTATATTAACTTGCAAACTATTTCATGGATTCTTTTCAAATTAAGGGAACAGTTTCCATTCTAATAGACAAGGTGCAGTACAGAGTTTAATTTTGGTATTCTACACAAAGCTACTTCATGGATTCTTTTCAATTGGGAGTACAGTTTTTATGCAAATAAGAGAGATGCAGGGCAGAGTTTGATTTCAATAAGTGGATTTTTGAGAAAATATTGCTTTTTTCATGTTTTGAACTTTAAAATACATTCGTGTCAAAGTTTGGAGTCAAGGTTGGGGGTATAAGTGAGCCTTGCTCACTTTTTATCTTGTTATTTTTATTTTGCCCAACCTTGTGTGGAAAAGCTGTAATAAATCCGTGAAAGATAATTTTTTATATTTCCACTGGTACTGAATTTTGTTTTTGGAACTGGCCATGCACTGTTGATTGTTCACTAAACATCTTTGTTACAGGAAATCAACTGGATCTAGTGTTTTTACTTCACTTCTCCAACAAGATTCAGCGCAATTCCTTTAGTCAAGTTCTGGACTTCCTCAAGTCGTCAGTTTTCAGAGCAGATATTGATTCTGGTGCAGTGCGAGTGGGAGCTGCTGTTTATAGAGGCAATGCAGAAGTAGTCTTTAATCTAAACCAGTATGCTTCAAAACAGGATGTCATGACCGGCATTGACAGGATCAACTTCAACTACCGTGATGGACAGGTGGGATACTGAATAATAAGTGCAAATGTTTCAGTCATGCTATTTTTCATTTATTCTTACAATGCCATCTGAGTACCAAGAATCCCTTGCCTAACATGAGACTAAAAGTACATTCACATAAAACTCAAAATTTGGATTTGGAACCACCATCTTTATTGAGTGCCTTCATTCACTCACTTTGTTGGGGGACATCAGTGATCAGTACGTGGAATGGAATCAGTCTTATGGAGTAAGGTGGTTACAATTTGTTACTGGACTGATTGTGTGTCATCATGTCCCAGCAGGGGAATTGCTCTTGCAGTCAGCCAAAGGATTGCCTGGCTCTGACTCGAGCAGAAATATTGCAGTCTGCAGCATAAAGCTACAATCTGTTACACACTCCATCCCACTACATTGTCAGAGTTATATAGGCCTTGTGAAAGAATTGAGACACAGTTTATATAGATTTCACATAGGGCACTAGTAAAACTAAAACATTTTGAAAGTGTTACTATTTTCATCGATTTTGATTAGTTAAACTTACTTGATGTTTGTAGTGTACTAGGAACAGGAATTAACACAGCTTCAACAAGATAAATTCTGGTACTGACTTGGATGACTGCCTTATTCAAATGCATACATAAAAATGTTAGTTCAAAGAAAAATAATGATTACTAAATCCAAGTTATTTCAGACTCTGAAATCATATTTCAGGCTAACTCTGCATCAGGCTTGAACCTGGTACGTCAGCAAATGTTCAACAGTAGAGCAGGTGATCGACCTCAGGTGCCTAATATGGTGATTGTTGTCACTGACTCTAACTCCAACATTGATGTCGCCAACACCATTCAGGCAGCACAGGATCTACAGAACAGTGGTGCCCTTGTTTACGCCATTGGTCTCAATCTTGAGTTTCCGGATGAACTGGAGGCTATTGCTACAGGGGTCAACTACTATGAACTGGACAACTTTGGGGAGCTGGCCTCAGCCCGGGATGACTTTGTGGAGCAGATTCAGCCATGTAAGTTTGTGTTATTTACTAAGAGTTATTACTCATACTTTTCCCAGATGTAATATCGGTCATTCTTGACATTTTTTAAAAGTCTATTCTGCAATAATCTTGTTCAATATTGTTCATATAAATTAGATCATGGTCTTAGTTGGTCTATACAGGAATAAACACGACCCCAAGACTTTTGAAAATCTTAATCTACTGGTCTGAAATGACCTGTGAACAAGAAGAATTTGACCAATGGGGTCCACCACTGCTATACTGGGATCACATTTAAAATGCCAGTTTAAACATTATTTCATTACATCATTATCAGTGTTGTGGAATGAGAGTTAACACATGAAAACACTGATTCGATCATGTTCAAGCAATTCCTGATTGCCTATAATTGTTATTCTGATCATTTCAATACATTGGTAGTGATATGTATATCTCACAGATGATCACAGTATTATTGTCAGGAAAATAATCTGACAAATTTTAAGTCTGTTAATTACTTTGGATTGTTAGCTACAGAGACCCATGACTACTGGTATTTATTTTTGTTTCTTGCAGTTGATTTCCAAATCTATCAGCAAATTTCACCCACATTTCATATTTTCAAACTTTGTTTTTTCAGTGAGAGATGGACCACCTGGTGTGACAGCAAATCCAGGTAAACAAAGATGCATGTTCAAGCATACATATCAAATCATAAACTTAACCAGAGGTTTTTTTGGGTTTTTTTAGAAAGAGAATCAAATATTTTAATTTAAAACAGTTATATAAGAGGGCTATATCTGAAAATCATTGACAGACAATTAATTTAATAATCCTATATTAAAAAGGGTTAACATTAGTGAGACATTACAAAATAACGAACAGGTAAATATGAGTCAGCGTTTATCGTGCCATCACCTTTGTGGATGTTATTTCCCAGCTTGTCGTGGCTTTCCCTCATGGAAATGTTCCTACCCAAGCTTTGCATTCCCACGGACAATACTCATTCACACACATGACCTCAGTTGTTTCAGTTATGAATTAAGTAAGGAGATGATAATTATTCACAGTATAATGTGTAATAAAGAGATTGATAGAGGTATTTCTGTTTCTGTAACACTAAAATTACCATTCAAAGGATAAAATCTCCATAGGATAACTGAAAATTAAAATAGCAATATATTAGCTAAAATATACATATGATTAGATTAACAGATACATTTATCAACTTTTAAGAAGAAAATTATGCATAATTTCTTATGCCAATCAGTGTGTATATAAGAGGTCTGTTAGTGTTTTCAGAAAACTGTAATATCTCAGGCATAAGCCATAGTTTCTGAATAGTTTAAGTAGGTGGGGGGACTCACTGCCTAATAAACTGCCACTGGTCACAAATACTACACAACATTTGCTGAAGACCAAAGTAGTCATCTGTAGTCAAAGGTTTGGTCCTTAGCAAATTTTGAGTGGTTTATTTTACTCCAGGTGCAAAATGCACTGTGATTTTGATATCCATAGAATTACATGTAGGAGGCTGCTCACCATTTTGTAAGACATGTGAACAAAGGTTGAATCAGTAAGCAAAATGGTTTATGCTGAAGATATTATGATAAGTATTGTTCTGTGTTATATGTCGTAGGCAAATGTTCTTGTTTGTTCTATATTTGATATATTGTACTATTATCATACACTGTTTACTAACCAGAAATGCTTTTTGCATGCAAATTTTCTGTTGTGATAGTTGACTGAACACTTCGTGAATTTCCTGACCTTTCTTCTGATAGATGTGTTTTGTCTACATGAAACTATGTAATGAATTACTATACTGTGATGTTGAAATGTGTGGTTTTTTTTCCTTTTTTATTGCAGGTTAAATGACGTTTTGACTTGTCAGTTGTGAAATACATGTGTTTTCTCGAATGTATCGCATGTGTACAGCATGTTGTTATTGTATTTATAATTATTGGTATTAACTACGAAAACATTTGACATTTGCCCCCAAATTAGTTTGAGTACAGGGAAAATGGCAAACTCCCACATGTGACATATGCCAGATCTTGTGTCAAGTCTTTATGTGATATTTTTTCTGATGGTAGCTTGGTGAGGACATTGTATATGTGTCATGCATATATGCTACCTATTTTCAGAGGACATTCCAGGTGCTGATGAACCTTTAACTCTTGCAAGTGAGTACTTGTCTTATCAAGACAATGTGTTCTCTCCCATTATTCACACTCTGATGCTGACACTCCCCAACTTCACTCCTCGAGCTCATTCCCATCCAGGCACCCGTCCCATCTCCTAAATCTGTCCCATATGCCTAAAATGTTAACAATTCAATCTCACAAGAAACTTTTCGTGTCAATTTTTATTTCTCCAATTCTTTTAATGTTCATCCCACAATGCTTATCCCTAAATGTAATTTACAAGACCCAAGCAGGAAGCAACCCCTACCCGTCCATCCCCATCTTCTTAACATCTATCAGTCCCAAAAGCCATCTATACCCCATTCAGATTTTTCTTCTCCATCTACATCCAAAACCCCAATTTTCAGCTCAAATCCTATCTCCATCCCAGGTCCCATCCTCTTTCCATCTTGAAATTCCCATTTCATCAATATCCATCTATCCCAAAGCCTCAAACCTGACATTCTGATACCACCGTGTCCTCCTTATCACTTCTCCCAACTGACCATTGGTAATAATATTTGTTGACCAGATCCTCTAACTATGGCTAATATGCCATTGCCATCTATTATGATCATCATAATTGGACTGGTCATCCATCTGTCGGTTCATCATGGTCCCATGCTCAGCCCCATCAGTCCTGATCATTCTGACTCTGGGGCACTGACAGCAATGTCATCTCCCATTACTACATCCTACAAATTCAGTGCCTTCTTCACTCAGTCTTGCCTTACATAGTCTCACTGCTGTAGCAGTTGTTATAATACGCCCAAATGTACAGCTCAAACAGCAAGTATCAGCACATGTCTGAGAGTCTTCTTCAAGGCTCTTGATCACTTTCCTTTCTCTTCCCTTCTCTGAATCATGTGTAGGTTTCTATAAATCCTCATGTTCCTCATGTATTAAGTATGACATCAAGCTTTCTCTTCGACTGTAGTGTCCTTCTGTGTCTTCAGTCATACAGTTTGGACACATCTTTCATTCATGATGTTATCTTGAAGCATCACATTCCTGCTATTATTTGACCTTAAGTAGCTTCTGATGCTCTGTGAAAATAACTCTTTTGTGACCTTCTTACCATATGAGTTCTGTATGGTGATAGTCACATAAAGTTTATCATGTCAGTGTTGAATCATATTGTATGCTGACAGTCAAATGTTGACCTATTTCAGATAGTGGAGAGGCAGATATTGCTATTGTCTACCAGTTTGGCAAATCAACCAAACCAAAGGACATCAGATCCAATTTCATCAGATTTGTGAAGAGCTTACTGAGCAATGCTGATATAGATGGAGGAGCTGTCCGAGTGGCACTTGTAAACTATGGAAGGAAAGTCACAACAATGTTTAATCTCAACCAGCATAACTCAAAAGCCAAAGTGCTTTCTGCAATCTCTAAATCAATCAGTCCAAGGCAGCGAATTGCAAAGGTTGATGGAGGAAAAGCTCTGAGCACTGTCAGAACACAAGTATTCTCTGCAGCTAAGGGTGACCGTCCAGGTGTTCCAAATGCTGTCATACTCATAACAGACACAAGAACCAATATCAAACCTGCAGGTTTCATCGCTGAAGCCAACAAGCTGAAGGCAGCTGGAACACAGATATTCACTATTGGTCTGGGGAAAGCAAACCAAAGGGAACTTGGAAGTGCAGCAAGTCAGCCAGCTGCTTCGTACTCCACATATGTTCCAAAGTATGGCAACCTTGGCCCTGCTGTCAAGAAAACTGTTGGTGCTGTCGTGAATGCCTGTAAGTGAAGAAGGGATAGCTCTCAATCATACTGCTCACTGTGGCATAACCTCAGTTGAATTTACTGGATGAATACTTTTGATTTTCATTTTGTGGGTTAATGATATCAAAACATCTCTAATGTTAAGGCATATTCACTTCCATATTCCTATTGATTTATTTTTATTTCTGTATAATTTTGTCATGGAAGGGAATGAATCTGATGCATACACATTTACTCCAGTGAGTTCAACCCCACGTAAACCTCCAACAAGGGGACCTCAGACAACAAAACCAACAGGAGTGGTAACACCCAAACCAGGTCAGTCATAGAGACTAGCAAGCAGGGAGAGTTGTCTTGCCTGATCTGCATCATGAGCAAACCTGTGATCACATGCATCACATGATGGCGAGATGTAGCAGAATGACCGCTGCATGGTTTTGAAGCACTCACCAAGTTGAGAAGTACAGTGACTCACATAGAAGCAGGATCACATAGTTGAGCAGTTGGCAGCACTAGAATGAAGAGTTCTGTTTGACAGTATGATGCATGAAGTTCGTCTCACTCACCACGACTTAGATAGATCGACACATTGAAAGTGATTATTCACATGTTCATATAATCACATAATCTGCCAGTATCTGATGTAGCAGCAAGAATACATACATGTATAAAGCTGGATGCTGCATGGTTATTGGTTCAGACGTCCAGGTTTAGTATACTATGAAAGCTGCAGCTGAATTTGAATATCAAACTGGATTGTCTGCTGAGTGATGTAGGTAGACAGAAGACTGGCATGAAAGCATCTAGAGATCAGTCACTTCTAATTCAATTGTCATATCCATTATAGGAGATTGTGCTGCAATGCGCATGTCACCTTTGAAGTGTCCTAGTTCAGTTACTTCAACACCATGGACGCATGATGCATTTGAAACAGTTAACCAGTTTGTGCATACATTATGTGGACTACAATATAGACGGTAGTTCAGTGACTGAGTATGCCACATTACCCAAATCTGCATGAGTCTAAACTCGGATCAGTCATCAACAAGGAGGATTTTATTCAGCTGCATGAGTTATCGGGTATCCCCTTTTTTTCAACTTCATACCCTATTCACTGTGGATTTTCAAGACCCAAGCCAGTGCATGAAATTTGAAAATGTTGAAGAAGAAGCACCAGTTGTGTTTCTGCATGATATGAACTAAGTATGTCTACATTGTGTGTGTCATGGATTATCTTGCATGGGAGTGACATCTCTGGTTTGATGTAATCACGTCACTACATGTCATCTCTAGCTCTTTTCCAGGCCAATTCAAGGCAGTTGCACTGATAGCACTTGGCACATTTCAACATCCACGCTGGATTTGACGTCTGTTTTGGACTTCAATGTTCTGTGTTGTCTCTTACTGGATGCTTGTGTATTACACTGACTGTTCACGTGTTACACTGTATGTAAGCACATTGTTTCTTTTATTGTGAATGATGTTTTCACCCTTATGATAATTGTTTTTTATACAGGACTGATCGTTTCCCTTATTTAAATATCATTTCTACTAACTGTTCTCCAACTTTTTATAATGAAGGTTAGTATGTTGTTTTGAATGGAGTTATTCATCCTTGTGATGTTAACTATTTATGTGTATCTACATACATGTATTTGTTTGTTTGTTTGTATATTGTGAAATGGTGTTCAAATATTGGTTTGTTTGTATGTTGTAAAATGTTGTCCAGTGTAAGTGTTGTGTTTGTTTTATGTATTGTCAATAGATAAACAGAGCATGACAATTACACTAAGGCTGTATACCTCAGTGGATATATAGTAAAGTATACGCAATTATAAAATAGAATAATCCTTGCATGTTTTTGTAAAGAGTTATTCAAGTGTCTCTGATTGATTGAAAGGTAAGCCTTTGCACTAAGTTCTAGGAAATGTAGATGTTTTTAGATCATGTCCCTGTAAAGTCTAATCTTTGCTTCTTCTTTCAAACAGCTAACACAGGAAATGTAATTGTTTCATTCTTTAGATTTTAGGATGAATCTTTCATGTTTGTGACATGTTAAAATTAACATTTTATTTTGATCTAACATTATCTTTGTAACTGTTCATGATTAACACACAGAACCTAAAACACACTCTGTTATCACTTTAATTGTTTAAGATCTTTAGCAATAAGATCTTCTGAATGTTGATACTCACCGAAAATTTAATGATTATTGCGCTCTGTTCTCACAATATCTCTTGGATCTTTTCAGGACCTGCTTGTGGTGCATCTTTGGCCTGTAAGTGAAAGACAAAACCCTTGCCAATATATGAACATATAGATACAAAGTGCAGTGCTGCTATTGTATGATGTAAACTACACTGAACTCAACTTTATACTAAAGGTTGGCTGTTTGTGTAGATTAGGAGTATTTCACTTTTTCGAAGATAAGTATTTTCGAAATCTAAGGTATTTTGTTTAACTGTTATTGTGGTAGAAGCCCCTTTACTCAAACACCAATTTACTTTTTGCTGATGAGTCATTTAGGAAAATCATTCACTGTGTCAACAGTCTTGCATAGGTATCATCAACAGTGTTTGACATTTGTAGTATGATGGAATGTTTCATCCATAAGAGAACATTGTAATTTCTATATAATAGTAAGTTCATTTTGTAACAATGGCATAAAAACTTCACTATTTCACGTTTCCCTTAAATATATCAATTTTGAAACCATTCATGCCGACCTAAAACAAATTGTCCACTGCATTGTCACTTTATTAAAAGTGGTCTAAGAAACAAATAACTGATGCCTTAATTTCAAATCTTATGCTGACTCTGACTCCGGAAGTCATTTTCATGTGCAATTTTTGAAAAATACACAATAAAACCCTTGATATATCCCATTTACTCACTCACATAATCAAACCTGTTTCCCTTCTCTGCTACAGCTAGCCCTCAGGCTGACATCATCTTTGCCATCTACTTCAATCCAAAGGGATCCAGACAGAATTTTGACAAATTGAAAACATACTTGGTATCTTTGGTGCAATCAGCAGATGTAGAGTCTGGCAATGTCCGTCTCGGCTTCTTTGTTGATGGTGGTTATACTCCATTCCAACTAAGCAGGTATGTACTTTCTTGTATTACCTCGTAACTACATGTATCTAGACTAAGACAAGTTATTTTCTCAATGTAAATTTTTTTATTCACCCTCCTTCATGCCCACTGTTTTATTATTTTTAGGCAGCCTCATACACAGCATCATGACTTTAGATTAGGGGTGACACAATATTGATACATACATATTGATTTACCCGAGTTATGATATGATGTATCAAGTTGCTTAATTTGCACTGTTGTTGCATTAAATTCTACATGTTCATGTGGCACGGCTAACAAGAGGTTACTGTTGACTGGTTTGTGTTTAACTAACTATTATGCAATCAGATTTTCCATTTTTTCATGTGATAGGCTAGCCCAAGTATGCTTGTAATGCTAACCCGAGTTCAACATATTAACAGACTTGTTCATAAAGAACATAATTGAGTTTTTTTAAGTCAAAACAGATTTGAGACATATATGAACTGATCTAAGGGTAGGAGTATCGTTTTGTGATGCATCAATACATCAATGAATCGTGCCAGCCCTAGTCAGATCAGGGCATTGCTTCTGACAATTGAAGATGATATCATCTATGGTTGATGACATCAAAGATGTTTTCATGTGATGTTGTTAGAACAGTTGGTTGACCTTACTAAATGACAGACCCACATTTTTCCTCATTTTTAAAAGAGTACATGAGTATGGGCTTCTCTGTGTACCCATGTGTGTGCCATCGGCTTTAACCACCAGGCTTTTCTACTGCCCCATTTCAAAAAGATCCATTGACAAAATATACAGTGAACTATGTTTATAACGAACTAGCTTATAACGAACTGACGGATATAACAAACTTATTTTCTAGTCCCGGCCATTTGATATATGTATGCTGTATATATGCCTATAACGAACTACGGTTATAACGAACTAAAATTAATGGTCCCTTTGCGTTCGTTATAACCGTAGTTTACTGTAGATGACTTGCCAGTGATTCAGAAATAATAGTATCTGTAATTCTGTAATTCATCATTCATTCATCAAAAACATTTCTCGCATTGTGGTGATTATTTTCTAATTCTTCAAAAATACTGATTGACCCTCTTGATTAATTAAACCTGACTCAATCATTATGTTACAGATAACTCATCACAACTCATTCCCTTGGATCTTTTTGTTTTTTGTTTTGCATTACACAATGAAAATGATAATTTGGGGCTTAATGTGATTAGGTGTTTCTATTTGTATCTGAAGAGTTGGTTTTTTTACAATGCTCTAGATATTCCTCCACTATGGATGTCACAGACGCCATCAACCAACTCACAAAGAGAGTAGCCCGTACTCGCAGTTTCAACCTACCAAGAATGCTGAGAACTATCCGAGAAAAGATGTTCACGTCCGCTAATGGTGACCGTGATGGTGTACCTAATGGTGTTATCCTTGTGACTGACACTACAGCCAATCAGCCTCGTGCTGCCATCAGTGCAGAGGCAGATCAGATGAAGGCAGCATGTATCGGGGTGTACACTGTGGGGGTGGGCCTATCAGACAAGTCGCAGCTGGAGATGGCTGCAGTAGATACCAACAACATCCACACAGTGTCAGACTATGCTGAGCTCGAGAGGAATGGAGACTCTGTCCGAAGATCAATTCAGGCCTGTGAGTGACTTCTAAAATGAAATGTTTTTGTTCTTGAAATATTGATTTGAGATTTCTATCTTAATGATGAAGAAGCTCTTTCATTCTAAATACTCTTACTGAATACCATATCCTTTCATTCTTTTCTTTTCTTTTCAGTCCGGGCCAAAGGCAAGACGGATAGTAAGTAATGTGACCATGAGATAGTGGACTACAGTTACGGTAGTTCTCTGCCCCTGGGTCACATGGTTAAACGTAGCTTCCCTTGCTATACATAATTTCCCATTATGGCTAACAGTCTATCCTGTTTCATGAAGCTTTTGGAACTAACCACTGCATACCCATGTGCTACTTCCTGACAAAATTGGGATGAACAGCATGGGGTTCATGTGCAAACCTTTCGAAACCAATGGTACATTCATACTAACATGCCAGGTTTTGAAGCACTCATACAATCAAGGTTATATTGACTTTTTCCAAAAACATGGCATCACAAGTAAGGGTTATTTGTCTGATGTTATTAATAGCTGCTGAAATTATGAAGTATAAATATATTACTTAAATTAACTTTAGAACAAAACTGAATAATAGTGCAGGTCAAGTGCTTGTTGACCTGTCCATGTTGAAAGTACCATTGGAGAGAATGTCTTTTCTTTCAGTGATTTTAGCAATCGTGGATGCAGCCCCTCAAGATCACTAGCTGATTAGAGATGGAATGTAACTGTAGAATAGTCAAATATGCTCCCAAATGAAACAAGTATTAGTAATGTTTTAGCTTTTGTCTCCTGAGATGTAAATACAGTAAATGACACACTTGTAAGAAAGTGCTACAATTCAGTAAGTATTGCAATTCGGAAAAAATCAGGCGATGACAAGCATTAACATTATTATACTCGTTTTTTAAGCTGAAAGTTTTGGTTTTATGAACATGATTCAAGTAAAAAGATCTTGACTCAGCTTTACACATCAAAATTTGCTGTACCTTTAAAAATAATTGGAGGAATTTAACCATTTTCCGTTATTCATTTTCTGTAACAGCAATCAGATCCAAATCTTTCAGCACATGTATGTTGACTTTAATTCATTTCTTTGGTACCATTCTTGAGTTGCTATGGCAATGTGTCTGAAATATTAGAGTAGTGTTTTAACCTCATGGACCCGATGGAGGATGCAGAGGAGGAAGAAGCTGGAGAAGTGACTGCTGCTGGTCCTGATGGCCACTCTGAAGGCTGCAACGAACAGTCACAGCAGAAGGTAGGAGTCTGTGTAGACTTTATCTTAGTGCCTAGTCAATTCATCCTCACCCCTCATTTTTTGCAGACTGCTTGAATGCCAAACTGGATCTGGTTTTTGTCCTTGACTCATCCACAAGTGTAACAGAACCAAATTTCAAGCTGGTCTTGGATTTCTTGAAAGATTTCCTAGATTATGCTGATGTTGACAATGGCAATGTCCGAGTCGGTGTAGTCCTCTACAGCACTAAAGTTCAGGTAGAGTTTCACATGAATGCCTACTCCACCAAGAGTGAATTGATGACAGCCATAGACAACATCCCCTATGTGTATGGCAGCACCAACACTGCTGGAGGTTTGAGAGCAATGCGAGAGGAGATGTTCACAGCTCGAACTGGAGACCGGTCTGATGTCCCTAATGTCGCAATTGTCCTAACAGATGGCGTATCTAACATTAACGCCCGCCAGACCATCCCTGAAGCTGAAGAGGCCCGAAAGGCAGGCATCAAGATCTATGCTATTGGTATAGGTATAGCAGAAACCAGGGAACTTGATGGTATGGCATCTCATCCCATTGAACAGAACCGATTCATAGTCCAGGATTTCAAAGAGCTACAGACCCTCAAGGAAAAGGTGTTCACATCCGTATGTCCAGGTAGGAGCTACGCCAATAGGTGTCCTCGTCATCATGTGACCTAACACATCGTCTGTTTCTCCGCCCACTTGTCGGGCAGGATCAGAACAGACCAGATCATTCTGGGATGTTTGATGTCTGCTTGCTAACGTCGTTGATTTGAGCTCTGGTTGCAGCGGAGGTGTTTCATTGTTTAACCCCTGTCTCAGCACTGGTTGCGGGTATTGCACACTGTGTTTTCACGTCCTTCACTTCACCAGGAACAGCTGGTGTAGGTTCAGATGTCTAATAATTGTTGCATGCTGGGAATGGCTTTAATAATATACAATATATACATCAATGTCCATATATATACATATATATATCTACATGTCATTATATTCACATTGTCTTTATATACATATATAGATGTTTTTAGATATCTTTGTAATCAATCTGTTATTGTTTATGAGTGAGAGAATTTCTCAATGTGAATGTCAAACAGTTTCACAAGCAAAATACATCACAGCTGCCTGTTTTATAGTATATCAGAAATAGTGTTAACAATCAAATCTTTCTGACATACTAAGCAAAGGACTGTGATTAGGTAATGGACTTAATCTCCTGAATAGAACAGCACTTACCATGGGTTAGTGAGTTGGGTAATTGTTTTCCATAATGGCAGAGTTTTCACTATTTAGCCACAAACTAAGTATGATTATGAACCAAGGGGGTTGTGTTGTTGATAGCCAACTTTATGCTATGACTTCTGGAGTATTTTTCTCTCCTTGTCATTTACTCATATTATTTTGACATATGGGCAAACCATTTTAAAAGAATAAGGTTCTTCTTGCTGAGAGGATAACTTTAACACTGGACAATTGTTTTTGTTTTTCCTGCAGTGAGAACAAAATACCGGTTATCCGGGTTTTACGTCTGTAGAGAATAGACACTGCAAAAAATATACTGTGTTCCGAGGGACATTAATATTCATTGTACCTACAGAGTATCAGGAGAAGTTATGGGTGTCTGTTATTTCAGCTATCAGTCATGACCACTGTCCACATGATCACTGAGGCATTCCAGGCTCTAAAGTAATTATCAAAGTGTACAGTACACTACACCATTTCATTACTTTACAGGACCCTCATACTGCCTGCAAGTACCCTTGAAATTAATTATTTGGTCGCCTGTAAACTTACTTTTGTAAGTCAAGTTAAAACCATGGGTCATGGATGTTAGAGTGAAATCAGCAGTGTGATATATTTTGACATGTGAATCACGTTATTGATCTGTTTCCTTGTCATCAGATGCGATGATTGTCATGATGTCTCTGGAATTTCATAAATGTGAAATGTGTTTATGTGATCTTGAGGTATGAATCAGTTTAATAAGAGAATGACTTCTATAAAAAAAATTACTTTTCACCTTTCATCATGTAAATGTTAACAGCGAGAGTAAACCAGGGAAAGAAGTTGGCCAATTGGTGACTTTATTGAGTAACAATATATCAGTATTCAGTGTAGTACATATCTCCATATCTATCAATAAAATATAGATCAGGTAGTTTAAATTTGAAAAGAAGCACTACATGTGTTTTTGTCTAAACTAGTTAAAAGATATGGATGTACAAATGGAGTCTAAATCTGTTATCATCTTGTAATGACACATATAAGCTTTGTTTTTGAAGTACCAAAGACATTTTCATATGTATTTCATATGTATATTGTGTAAGGTTGATGTTAGAAATATGTAGTATGAAATTTCTGTTGACAAATATGTTGGCTGTTAACATGAAGATATAATTTCCCATTCATAAGTACTTTTCTTGTCAGTTTCCAAAATATCAGTGACAAGTTTTCCTACTTTTCCAGATCTTGAAACTCAAATGTAGTTCCATTTTTGCCATCAATAAATCATTGTTTTCTTAAGTACTGGTACATTGTAACATGATATATTATATTGTTCAGAAACTATCTTTCAGTGACCAATGTAAATGAGATATTTTTCAGTCAGAATGTGCTAGGTGTTTCAGTTTAAATTCTGTAACAAAGGTTTGTAATCTTCTGCTGTGTTTCAGTTGAAAGACCTTCAGTACCTGTCACAACCCAACCAAAGAGTGATGGTAAGTCTATTAATATAATCATAGTTTATTCAGCATCTTTCAAACCATGTCAGTGTTAATTTTGCTTATACCAGGTTGTATATATTTTCCACAGACAAGAGAAAATATATGACAAAATTAAAGTATCATTCCTGCAACTGGTCATGGCCCATACAAATTATTATCATTTTGTCTTTCATACATAGAATACTATTATATTCTTGAGTGAAGTTGAATAAGGATCGTAATTGGGCCACTACTGTAGTATCAGCTGGGCATTCTAAGTAGCTTAGGGCATTCAGAAAATGGTAGGGATGAGGCTGCTTCTGCATTTGCATATATAGCAAACACTTTTCTAGTTCTGAATTATTATTTCATGGTTTCTGATCAGATTGTTCCAGTACCAAACTGGATCTGGTCTTTGTTCTGGACTCCTCCACCAGTGTCACAGAGCCCAACTTCAAACTCATGTTGGACTTCTTGAAGAACTTCCTCTACGTGGCTAACATCGATGATGGCAATGTCCGAGTTGGTGTAGTCATTTATAGCACCAAGGTGAGCATCCAGTTCCACCTTAATGAATATGCAACAAAGAGAGATGTGTTTCTTGCCATAGACAGAATACCATACCAGTATGGCAGCACCAACACCTTTGGAGGTCTGAACACAATGAGGACCCAGATGTATGTTCCCGAAAGAGGTGATCGACCAGATGTCAAGAATGTGGCTGTGGTGATCACTGACGGTGTGTCCAACATCAATGCCAGGAGAACAGTTCCAGAAGCAGAGTCTGTAAGAGGTGCAGGCATCCACATCTATGCTATTGGTATTGGTTTGGCTGACACAACTGAGTTGGATGGAATAGCCAGCAGGCCCATTAACGAGAATCGGTTTACAGTACAGGATTTCAAAGAGCTCAGAGGTCTACGAGACAAAGTATTCACCTCGTTTTGTCCAGTTGTCACTACTCCAGTTCCACGTACATTACCACCAAAAGTTCAAGGTAAGTTGCATGGTTTATAGTTCAATTTAACTTATACTAGAAATCGCAGGTATATTTCATTACAAAGGTTCTGTTATTTGTAATGTTTGGTTTGCATTCAGAAATCCTTGAAAGGTTTTGGCATCATGTTGTAATCATATGAATGATATCTGTCTATGGGTTTCTTTTAGCTTCATTTAAAACTATTTGAACCCCAGTTAGTTGTTAATTCATCAAGTTTGATATTGTCTTGTTTCTTCAGACTGTTCCTATGCCAAACTGGATCTTGTCTTTGTTCTGGATACCTCCACCAGTGTCACAGAGAAGAATTTCATTCTCATGAAAGATTTCCTTAAACACTTTCTGTATGTAGCCAACATTGATGATGGCAATGTTCGTGTTGGTGTAGTGATCTACAGCACCAAAGTTAGCATCCAGTTCCAAATGAGTCAGTACACATCCAAGCGCCAGGTTTATGTAGCCATAGACCAAATACCTTATCAGTATGGAAGTACAAATACCTATGGAGGACTGAACACTATGAGGACTCAGATGTTCACTCCAAGGACAGGAGACCGACCAGATGTTGACAATGTTGCCATTGTCATCACTGATGGTGTTTCAAACATAAATTCTAGGAGAACAATTCCTGAAGCTGAAAGGGTGCGGGAGCAAGGAATCCATATATATGCCATTGGCATTGGTTTGGCTGATACAACAGAGTTGGATGGGATAGCAAGCAGACCCATTGAGAAGAATCGATTTGCTGTTCAGGACTTTGATGAACTTGTTGGTCTGCGAGATGAAGTGTTTTCTTCCTTTTGTTCAGGTATGCTGCTCTCAAATCTGCAATACTCTTTGTATGTTTATTGGTTAATTCATTCCTGTGTTGTATACAGAAATACATAGCAGAGTTTTTTCCTTTCATTCCAGGGATGAGTGTTCAGCTGAACTGTATATTTTATGCAAACTAAAAACTAATCTGAATAAAAAACTGAATTAATATGTTGTGCAAATTCTTGCACAATATGTGCAATTTGTTCAAGCATCTTCAATCCAAACCATTTTGACAATGTTATATCAAGATATGAAATATTTAAGTTGTTTTCTACATACTTTTTCAGTAACGACTACCCTTGCCCCAACCACAACTACAACCACTACAACTACAACAACTACTACAACCACAACAACTATTCCAACAACAACTACTCCTGAGGTGGATGGTAAGTATGGTTAAGCGACCTGTTTTATTATGATCATGAGGTGGAATCTCTTACCATTCCTTGTTTATCCTGAAAATCACAAAATTGAGTGTCATGTAAATAAGGAAGCCTCAACACCTTGTCAGATATGAATAAGAATAGGAATGGAATCAGTCTTATTTGAATAATCTAACTACTTGACCGCTACTCTTTCAGAAGAATGAGATGTTAGTTTTTGACATAATTGGAACTCATGTGACTTTACTGAATTATTATTTCATGGTTTCTGATCAGATTGTTCCAGTACCAAACTGGATCTGGTCTTTGTTCTGGACTCCTCCACCAGTGTCACAGAGCCCAACTTCAAACTCATGTTGGACTTCTTGAAGAACTTCCTCTACGTGGCTAACATCGATGATGGCAATGTCCGAGTTGGTGTAGTCATTTATAGCACCAAGGTGAGCATCCAGTTCCACCTTAATGAATATGCAACAAAGAGAGATGTGTTTCTTGCCATAGACAGAATACCATACCAGTATGGCAGCACCAACACCTTTGGAGGTCTGAACACAATGAGGACCCAGATGTATGTTCCCGAAAGAGGTGATCGACCAGATGTCAAGAATGTGGCTGTGGTGATCACTGACGGTGTGTCCAACATCAATGCCAGGAGAACAGTTCCAGAAGCAGAGTCTGTAAGAGGTGCAGGCATCCACATCTATGCTATTGGTATTGGTTTGGCTGACACAACTGAGTTGGATGGAATAGCCAGCAGGCCCATTAACGAGAATCGGTTTACAGTACAGGATTTCAAAGAGCTCAGAGGTCTACGAGACAAAGTATTCACCTCATTTTGTCCAGTTGTCACTACTCCAGTTCCACGTACATTACCACCAAAAGTTCAAGGTAAGTTGCAAGGTTTATAGTTCAATTTAACTTATACTAGAAATCGCAGGTATATTTCATTACAAAGGTTCTGTTTTTTGTAATGTTTGTTTTGCATTCAGAAATCCTTGAAAGGTTTTGGCATCATGTTGTAATCATATGAATGATATCTGTCTATGGGTTTCTTTTAGCTTCATTTAAAACTATTTGAACCCCAGTTAGTTGTTAATTCATCAAGTTTGATATTGTCTTGTTTCTTCAGACTGTTCCTATGCCAAACTGGATCTTGTCTTTGTTCTGGATACCTCCACCAGTGTCACAGAGAAGAATTTCATTCTCATGAAAGATTTCCTTAAACACTTTCTGTATGTAGCCAACATTGATGATGGCAATGTTCGTGTTGGTGTAGTGATCTACAGCACCAAAGTTAGCATCCAGTTCCAAATGAGTCAGTACACATCCAAGCGCCAGGTTTATGTAGCCATAGACCAAATACCTTATCAGTATGGAAGTACAAATACCTATGGAGGACTGAACACTATGAGGACTCAGATGTTCACTCCAAGGACAGGAGATCGACCAGATGTTGACAATGTTGCCATTGTCATCACTGATGGTGTTTCAAACATAAATTCTAGGAGAACAATTCCTGAAGCTGAAAGGGTGCGGGAGCAAGGAATCCATATATATGCCATTGGCATTGGTTTGGCTGATACAACAGAGTTGGATGGGATAGCAAGCAGACCCATTGAGAAGAATCGATTTGCTGTTCAGGACTTTGATGAACTTGTTGGTCTGCGAGATGAAGTGTTTTCTTCCTTTTGTTCAGGTATGCTGCTCTCAAATCTGCAATACTGTTTGTATGTTTATTGGTTAATTCATTCCTGTGTTGTATACAGAAATACATAGCAAAGTTTTTTCCTTTCACTCCAGGGATGAGTGTTCAGCTGAACTGTATATTTTATGCAAACTAAAAACTAATCTGAATAAAAAACTGAATTAATATGTTGTGCAAATTCTTGCACAATATGTGCAATTTGTTCAAGCATCTTCAATCCAAACCATTTTGACAATGTTATATCAAGATATGAAATATTTAAGTTGTTTTCTACATACTTATTCAGTAACGTCTACCCTTGCCCCAACCACATCTACAACCACTACAACTACAACAACTACTACAACCACAACAACTATTCCAACAACAACTACTCCTGAGGTGGATGGTAAGTATGGTTAAGCAACCTGTTTTATTATGATCATGAGGTGGAATCTCTTACCATTCCTTGTTTATCCTGAAAATCACAAAATTGAGTTTCATGTAAATAAGGAAGCCTCAACACCTTGTCAGATATGAATAAGAATAGGATGGAATCAGTCTTATTTGAATACTCTAACTACTTGACCGCAACTCTTTCAGAAGAATGTGATGTTAGTTTTTGACATAATTGGAACTCATGTGACTTTACTGAATTATTATTTCATGGTTTCTGATCAGATTGTTCCAGTACCAAACTGGATCTGGTCTTTGTTCTGGACTCCTCCACCAGTGTCACAGAGCCCAACTTCAAACTCATGTTGGACTTCTTGAAGAACTTCCTCTACGTGGCTAACATCGATGATGGCAATGTCCGAGTTGGTGTAGTCATTTATAGCACCAAGGTGAGCATCCAGTTCCACCTTAATGAATATGCAACAAAGAGAGATGTGTTTCTTGCCATAGACAGAATACCATACCAGTATGGCAGCACCAACACCTTTGGAGGTCTGAACACAATGAGGACCCAGATGTATGTTCCCGAAAGAGGTGATCGACCAGATGTCAAGAATGTGGCTGTGGTGATCACTGACGGTGTGTCCAACATCAATGCCAGGAGAACAGTTCCAGAAGCAGAGTCTGTAAGAGGTGCAGGCATCCACATCTATGCTATTGGTATTGGTTTGGCTGACACAACTGAGTTGGATGGAATAGCCAGCAGGCCCATTAACGAGAATCGGTTTACAGTACAGGATTTCAAAGAGCTCAGAGGTCTACGAGACAAAGTATTCACCTCATTTTGTCCAGTTGTCACTACTCCAGTTCCACGTACATTACCACCAAAAGTTCAAGGTAAGTTACATGGTTTAAAGTTCAATTTAACTTATACTAGAAATCGCAGGTATATTTCATTACAAAGGTTCTGTTTTTTGTAATGTTTGTTTTGCATTCAGAAATCCTTGAAAGGTTTTGGCATCATGTTGTAATCATATGAATGATATCTGTCTATGGGTTTCTTTTAGCTTCATTTAAAACTATTTGAACCCCAGTTAGTTGTTAATTCATCAAGTTTGATATTGTCTTGTTTCTTCAGACTGTTCCTATGCCAAACTGGATCTTGTCTTTGTTCTGGATACCTCCACCAGTGTCACAGAGAAGAATTTCATTCTCATGAAAGATTTCCTTAAACACTTTCTGTATGTAGCCAACATTGATGATGGCAATGTTCGTGTTGGTGTAGTGATCTACAGCACCAAAGTTAGCATCCAGTTCCAAATGAGTCAGTACACATCCAAGCGCCAGGTTTATGTAGCCATAGACCAAATACCTTATCAGTATGGAAGTACAAATACCTATGGAGGACTGAACACTATGAGGACTCAGATGTTCACTCCAAGGACAGGAGATCGACCAGATGTTGACAATGTTGCCATTGTCATCACTGATGGTGTTTCAAACATAAATTCTAGGAGAACAATTCCTGAAGCTGAAAGGGTGCGGGAGCAAGGAATCCATATATATGCCATTGGCATTGGTTTGGCTGATACAACAGAGTTGGATGGGATAGCAAGCAGACCCATTGAGAAGAATCGATTTGCTGTTCAGGACTTTGATGAACTTGTTGGTCTGCGAGATGAAGTGTTTTCTTCCTTTTGTTCAGGTATGCTGCTCTCAAATCTGCAATACTGTTTGTATGTTTATTGGTTAATTCATTCCTGTGTTGTATACAGAAATACATAGCAAAGTTTTTTCCTTTCACTCCAGGGATGAGTGTTCAGCTGAACTGTATATTTTATGCAAACTAAAAACTAATCTGAATAAAAAACTGAATTAATATGTTGTGCAAATTCTTAAGTTGTTTTCTACATACTTTTTCAGTAACGACTACCCTTGCCCCAACCACAACTACAACCACTACAACTACAACAACTACTACAACCACAACAACTATTCCAACAACAACTACTCCTGAGGTGGATGGTAAGTATGTTAAGCGACCTGTTTTATTATGATCATGAGGTGGAATCTCTAACCATTCCTTGTTTATCCTGAAAATCACAAAATTGAGTGTCATGTAAATAGGGAAGCCTCAACAACTTGTCAGATATGAATAAGAATAGGAATGGAATCAGTCTTACTTGAATAATCTAACTACTTGATCGCAACTCTTTCAGAAGAATGAGATGTTAGTTTTTGACATAATTGGAACTCATGTGACTTTACTGAATTATTATTTCATGGTTTCTGATCAGATTGTTCCAGTACCAAACTGGATCTGGTCTTTGTTCTGGACTCCTCCACCAGTGTCACAGAGCCCAACTTCAAACTCATGTTGGACTTCTTGAAGAACTTCCTCTACGTGGCTAACATCGATGATGGCAATGTCCGAGTTGGTGTAGTCATTTATAGCACCAAGGTGAGCATCCAGTTCCACCTTAATGAATATGCAACAAAGAGAGATGTGTTTCTTGCCATAGACAGAATACCATACCAGTATGGCAGCACCAACACCTTTGGAGGTCTGAACACAATGAGGACCCAGATGTATGTTCCCGAAAGAGGTGATCGACCAGATGTCAAGAATGTGGCTGTGGTGATCACTGACGGTGTGTCCAACATCAATGCCAGGAGAACAGTTCCAGAAGCAGAGTCTGTAAGAGGTGCAGGCATCCACATCTATGCTATTGGTATTGGTTTGGCTGACACAACTGAGTTGGATGGAATAGCCAGCAGGCCCATTAACGAGAATCGGTTTACAGTACAGGATTTCAAAGAGCTCAGAGGTCTACGAGACAAAGTATTCACCTCATTTTGTCCAGTTGTCACTACTCCAGTTCCACGTACATTACCACCAAAAGTTCAAGGTAAGTTACATGGTTTAAAGTTCAATTTAACTTATACTAGAAATCGCAGGTATATTTCATTACAAAGGTTCTGTTTTTTGTAATGTTTGTTTTGCATTCAGAAATCCTTGAAAGGTTTTGGCATCATGTTGTAATCATATGAATGATATCTGTCCATTGGCTTCTTTTAGCTTCATTTAAAACTATTTGAACCCCAGTTAGTTGTTAATTCATCAAGTTTGATATTGTCTTGTTTCTTCAGACTGTTCCTATGCCAAACTGGATCTTGTCTTTGTTCTGGATACCTCCACCAGTGTCACAGAGAAGAATTTCATTCTCATGAAGGATTTCCTTAAACACTTTCTGTATGTAGCCAACATTGATGATGGCAATGTTCGTGTTGGTGTAGTGATCTACAGCACCAAAGTTAGCATCCAGTTCCAAATGAGTCAGTACACATCCAAGCGCCAGGTTTATGTAGCCATAGACCAAATACCTTATCAGTATGGAAGTACAAATACCTATGGAGGACTGAACACTATGAGGACTCAGATGTTCACTCCAAGGACAGGAGACCGACCAGATGTTGACAATGTTGCCATTGTCATCACTGATGGTGTTTCAAACATAAATTCTAGGAGAACAATTCCTGAAGCTGAAAGGGTGCGGGAGCAAGGAATCCATATATATGCCATTGGCATTGGTTTGGCTGATACAACAGAGTTGGATGGGATAGCAAGCAGACCCATTGAGAAGAATCGATTTGCTGTTCAGGACTTTGATGAACTTGTTGGTCTGCGAGATGAAGTGTTTTCTTCCTTTTGTTCAGGTATGCTGCTCTCAAATCTGCAATACTGTTTGTATGTTTATTGGTTAATTCATTCCTGTGTTGTATACAGAAATACATAGCAGAGTTTTTTCCTTTCACTCCAGGGATGAGTGTTCAGCTGAACTGTATATTTTATGCAAACTAAAAACTAATCTGAATAAAAAACTGAATTAATATGTTGTGCAAATTCTTGCACAATATGTGCAATTTGTTCAAGCATCTTCAATCCAAACCATTCTGACAATGTTATATCAAGTTATGAAATATTTAAGTTGTTTTCTACATACTTTTTCAGTAACGACTACCCTTGCCCCAACCACAACTACAACCACTACAACTACAACAACTACTACAACCACAACAACTATTCCAACAACAACTACTCCTGAGGTGGATGGTAAGTATGTTAAGCGACCTGTTTTATTATGATCATGAGGTGGAATCTCTAACCATTCCTTGTTTATCCTGAAAATCACAAAATTGAGTGTCATGTAAATAGGGAAGCCTCAACAACTTGTCAGATATGAATAAGAATAGGAATGGAATCAGTCTTACTTGAATAATCTAACTACTTGATCGCAACTCTTTCAGAAGAATGTGATGTTAGTTTTTGACATAATTGGAACTCATGTGACTTTACTGAATTATTATTTCATGGTTTCTGATCAGATTGTTCCAGTACCAAACTGGATCTGGTCTTTGTTCTGGACTCCTCCACCAGTGTCACAGAGCCCAACTTCAAACTCATGTTGGACTTCTTGAAGAACTTCCTCTACGTGGCTAACATCGATGATGGCAATGTCCGAGTTGGTGTAGTCATTTATAGCACCAAGGTGAGCATCCAGTTCCACCTTAATGAATATGCAACAAAGAGAGATGTGTTTCTTGCCATAGACAGAATACCATACCAGTATGGCAGCACCAACACCTTTGGAGGTCTGAACACAATGAGGACCCAGATGTATGTTCCCGAAAGAGGTGATCGACCAGATGTCAAGAATGTGGCTGTGGTGATCACTGACGGTGTGTCCAACATCAATGCCAGGAGAACAGTTCCAGAAGCAGAGTCTGTAAGAGGTGCAGGCATCCACATCTATGCTATTGGTATTGGTTTGGCTGACACAACTGAGTTGGATGGAATAGCTAGCAGGCCCATTAACGAGAATCGGTTTACAGTACAGGATTTCAAAGAGCTCAGAGGTCTACGAGACAAAGTATTCACCTCATTTTGTCCAGTTGTCACTACTCCAGTTCCACGTACATTACCACCAAAAGTTCAAGGTAAGTTACATGGTTTATAGTTCAATTTAACTTATACTAGAAATCGCAGGTATATTTCATTACAAAGGTTCTGTTTTTTGTAATGTTTGTTTTGCATTCAGAAATCCTTGAAAGGTTTTGGCATCATGTTGTAATCATATGAATGATATCTGTCCATTGGCTTCTTTTAGCTTCATTTAAAACTATTTGAACCCCAATTAGTTGTTAATTCATCAAGTTTGATATTGTCTTGTTTCTTCAGATTGTTCCTATGCCAAACTGGATCTTGTCTTTGTCCTGGATACCTCCACCAGTGTCACAGAGAAGAATTTCATTCTCATGAAAGATTTCCTTAAACACTTTCTGTATGTAGCCAACATTGATGATGGCAATGTTCGTGTTGGTGTAGTGATCTACAGCACCAAAGTTAGCATCCAGTTCCAAATGAGTCAGTACACATCCAAGCGCCAGGTTTATGTAGCCATAGACCAAATACCTTATCAGTATGGAAGTACAAATACCTATGGAGGACTGAACACTATGAGGACTCAGATGTTCACTCCAAGGACAGGAGACCGACCAGATGTTGACAATGTTGCCATTGTCATCACTGATGGTGTTTCAAACATAAATTCTAGGAGAACAATTCCTGAAGCTGAAAGGGTGCGGGAGCAAGGAATCCATATATATGCCATTGGCATTGGTTTGGCTGATACAACAGAGTTGGATGGGATAGCAAGCAGACCCATTGAGAAGAATCGATTTGCTGTTCAGGACTTTGATGAACTTGTTGGTCTGCGAGATGAAGTGTTTTCTTCCTTTTGTTCAGGTATGCTGCTCTCAAAACTGCAATACTGTTTGTATGTTTATTGGTTAATTCATTCCTGTGTTGTATGCAGAAAAAATAGCACAGTTTTTCTATTTAACTCCAGGGATCTGTACTGAACTCAAGCCTGTAATATTATATTTTATTTTTTTCATTTGATGTGACAATTGAATGTATTTTAATGTTGGAAACTTGTATTTAGCCATTGCTTTGTGCTAAATAAAAGTGATATACTTTTACATGAACTTCATTATCTTCCTGCACTTTGAATGAACTTTAATCAGAACCTTGTTTGTTTATTTTTCAAGTTCATTCAACAACAGCTCCAACCACCACCACAACCACAACAACAACAACACCCTTACCAACAATACCAGCTAAACTTGATGGTAAGATAAAATCACTAACAAGAGCTGTAACACCATACCACTGTGTTGGTGCAATGCAGGTTGCCATACTTGTATCATGAGGCTAAGTGCATGCGTCAAAGGATGGTTGGATAATAGAAGTGTATTTGGTGACATTGGGCCTCAAGTAATTTTCACTAAATAGGTTTGATTATCTGCACATTTCAGTGCAAAAGAATGTATCATAACTGTCCTGTGCCCAACTTGTTATGATGTGTACACATTTCAGAGCAATGGGTTTCCCAGGATAGCATTCAGAGCTGAACCTTTTGAGCAGATAAGTAACAACATCGAAGGAAATTATTCTAAGAAATAAGCTACATACCAATAATAAACTGTTTCTCAGGTTTGTGTCTTTCCAAATGAATGGGAGAAGGTTTGAGCTTTGTTAGCGACTATAACACCAATTGTCTACAACATATCATAAAGCTACAGTGACCATGAATAGATGTAAGTGTAAAATACAGGAAATAAGCACACACCATTTTATTGTAAGTAAAAAAAGCATGGTTAACAGGTTTTATTACCAATACCCAAGAAATATATCTTTTGTTACTTTTGTATTATTAAATAAACTAGAATATATGAAACTAAAAGAAAAATGATCCAAAGTTTGTTTAAAGATTAATAGACTGACTATTCATCTGCCAAATATAAATATTTGTAGATATTGTTCATGATGATCATGCTATTTTCATCTTTCTGTGGACTGCATCTGTGGTCTATTGGAAAAGCGTCCGCCCAGAGAGTAGAAGGTTTGGGGTTTGATCTCTGTCTATGTCATACCAAAAGACATTAAAAGATTGTACTTGTTGTTACCCAGCTTGGTGCTTGACATTATGGTGTTAAAACAAGGACTGGTTGGTTCGGAGTGAGGTATTCATGTTAAACTGCATCATGGTATCTCAGTGGGTTTGCTCTATCAAATCAGCATTAGTCCGAACTACTACAAGCAGCCACACACACACACACACACACAAACACACATGTGCATGCACGTCGCTATATAAGTGCAATAATCTTGGACGACAACTTAAACCCCATTTCACCTCACCACTTCTCTTTCTCTGTATCATTGCATGTGTTTAATACAATTCCAATCTAAGAGGTCAATTTACAGATCAACACAAATTTCTTCGGTTGTGAAATATGGGTTTCTGCTCCGTATGATACCAAGACAAGATGAGTAATTCCCTTGTTGATGTTATTCTGTTTCAGACTGTGCTGATGCCAAGCTTGATCTAGTATTCGTTCTGGATGCATCTACAAGTGTCACAGAGCCCAATTTCAAACTCATGCTGGATTTCTTGAAGAACTTTCTTTTTGTGGCCAACATTGATGATGGTAATGTTCGAGTTGGCGTTGTCATCTACAGTACCAAGGTATATATTCAGTTCCACCTGAATGAGTATTCCACCAAGACAGATGTCTTCAGTGCCATTGATGCTATTCCCTATGAATATGGCAGCACAAACACTTTTGGAGGATTGAAGGCAATGAGGATGAAGATGTTCACTCGTGCAACAGGAGACCGTTCCAAAGTAAAAAATGTTGCCATTGTGATCACTGATGGTGTGTCCAATATCAATGCCAGAAAAACAGTTCCTGAGGCTAAGAAGGCTAGAAGAAAGGGCATCCATATCTATGCTATTGGCATTGGAATTTCAGACACAAGGGAGATTGATGGCATTGCAAGCAAACCTATTGAGGAAAACCGCTTCACTGTTCAAGATTTTAGGGAATTGATTGTCCTTAGAGACAAAGTCTTCTCCTCATTCTGCCCAGTACCAGCAAAGCCTCTGCCAACACTTCCACCAATATTAGATGGTAAGATTTATTAGCTGAAGAGTGCTAGCATGAAACAAATGCTACTCGTTTGAGACTAAGTAAGAGAGAGAGAGAGAGCATGCTTCTAAAGGAGATATTAGAAATAGAAATGTATTGTATCTTTGTCTCTTTTCATTGTAATTCCTGACAGATTATTCATACAGTTTTGAAACTGGTTGGCAATTACTCTACTCAATTCAGTGTATTGACAAGGGTAGCCCAGTTGTCTTATGTGCTGCAACAGGTTGGTCCCTTGGGCTTACCAAGAACCTATGATCTTGGGTTCAAATCACAGATTTGCCATGATTATGATGTCATTGGTTTGGCAGCATCATACCCATTCCCTGGGTTTCACCAAGGTGGTAAACATCTAAGACCTGCATCTGCTTCCTCTTTTCATCTACTGATGATTTTTATGAAAAGAAGCAAGAAACTTTATCATATTTTATCATTCAGTTTTGAAACTGCTTGGTAATTACTCTACTCAATTCAGTGTGTTGACACGGGTAGCCAACTTGTCTTAGGTGCTGGAACAGGTTAGTCACTTGGGCTTGCCAAGAACCTATGATCTTGGGTTCAAATCACAGATTTGCCATGATTATGATTTTATGTGTCTGAAACATGCTTTAGATATATCGTACAGTTCTTTCAGAGATTTTTTCATATTCCAGATTGTGCAGATGCTATGCTAGATTTGATATTCGTACTGGATGCTTCCACCAGTGTCACTGAACCGAACTTTAAGCTGATGCTGAATTTCTTGAAAGACTTCTTGTTTGTGGCCAACATTGATGCTGGTAATGTTCGAGTTGGTGTGGTTATCTACAGTACAAAAGTCTTCATCCAGTTCCATCTGAATCAGTACAGTAGTAAAAGAGATGTATATGTGGCAATAGATAATATTCCCTATGAATATGGAAGCACTAATACCTATGGTGCAGTTAACACAATGAGGACAAAGATGTTTCTCCCAGAAAGAGGTGACAGGCCAGGTGTAAGAAATATTGCCATTATCATCACTGATGGTGTTTCCAATATAAACTCAAGAAGACTTATCCCTGAGGCTCTGAAAGCTCGTAATGCTGGCATCCACATATATGCCATAGGAATAGGCTTGGCGGATACAACTGAGTTGGATCAGATAGCCAGCAAGCCTCTGGATGAAAACAGATTCACAGCTCAAGACTTCAGTGAACTCAGGCAACTCAGGGACAAGGTCTTTTCATCTTTCTGCCCAAGTGAGTTCTGTTTCATTTTTTATATTTCATTTTGTTACTTATTTCATGCAGGAAATCTAAGATGCTGCAATTTTGTGTGCAGAGTTGCATCTGTTAGCCATGCAAGAATCTGCTGCATGCTGGTTTAGATCCTGGATTCGTCCCAAATGTTTGGGCTTTGTCAGCATCATGGGTTTCATCAAAGATAAAAATGCCTAGAAGTTGTGTTTTACAAAATAGAATGAAGCTGGCATGACATGATATAACTGATATAAGTTCAACCCAGAGTTCACTCACTCATTAAGGAAATTTACCTATCTTGCTTTAATTGTGGAATAATGTTAACTGTAGATTTGAGTGAACAAAATGTCCTTAAAAATAAAATAATGCCTGTTTTGAAAAGTTGTACTTGATAAATAAGATTGAATGAATGTGAAACAATTATTATAGACAACTGTTTTTGAGTGAGATGGTGAGATTGTACACTACTTTTAGCAATATTCCAGGAACAGGTGCTTTATATTGCCAGCACACTGAGATACGATGCTGCACTTTAACATATATAGATACCTGACTCGCACATTATATACTGACTTTGAGACCTACCATTTCTGGTTCTTTCTCCTTTTACACCTTTTGTTATAACACAGCAGAGAATCGTACCACTGACTATGAGCTCTCTAGGCAGATACTCTATCTACTACACCAAGGAGGCAGTTATTTCAGCATATCATGTCAGAGGACAACAATTGTTTTCACATTTTCACACTTGATTATATATACGGGGGAAAACATTTCCATAATCACTGTACTGTCCAATCATCTTTTCTTGTTGATTCCGTAGTCCTTTGGAGAGGATCAAACATATGTGTTCGCTGTAGTTTATTTATTTTGTGTTCTCTTTTTTTCAGTCCCTACCACAACACTACCACCTCCAGCAACAACATCTAAGGGTGTGTCAATCTATCTATATTTGCAGTCATTATCTTCTAGTAAACATGTTTCAGGCAGTGATGTAGGTAACCCTGCATATAAACAGACATCTTTAACATTTTGCTGGTGTTTCCTCAGCAAATAAACCAATTTTTGTGCTTGATAATAAGAACACAGAATAATCTACCAGGACAAGATGCAGTGAATGAATAACCAAACAATTGACTTTTTAACATTAACATCTTTATCAAGGTGGAGAGAACCTGGGAGGAGCCTTAACAAAGGTTTCCTCAGGAATTGTTTGACCATCTATACCTGCACCTCATTTCTAGTAATGCTAAAATTTAGAATGAAAATCTTTACCCTATTGTGTTCAAATTATTGATATACTATTTCTTCTTTCAGAATGCAGCAGCACTCGCCTGGATCTAGCGTTCCTTATTGATGCATCTACCAGCGTCACGGAACCAAACTTTGTGCTTGTTCTGAACTTTGTCAAGAACTTCTTAGCTCAAGCTGACATAGATAATGGCAATGTTAGGGTGGGTGTAGTGTTGTACAGTACTTCAGTCCATGTGGAGTTCCTCCTGCATGACTACACCTCTAAGACAGAGGTTCTTACAGCCATAGACAATATTCCCTACAGATATGGTAGTACTAACACTGCTGATGGAATCAAATCTCTGAGGACTGAGATATTTACTCAACGAAGTGGTGACCGACAAGATGTCCCCAACATTGCCATTATTCTAACAGATGGTGTGTCCAATATTAATGCCAGGAGAACTGTCCCTGAAGCTCAGGATGCACAATTAGAAGGAATTGAACTGTTTGCTATTGGAATCGGGCTTGCAGATACAAGAGAGCTCAATGGAATGGCAAGCCCGCCTTTGGAAGAGCATCGATTCATTGTGGAGGATTTCTCTCAACTTAATAATCTGCAGCAACGAGTGTTTAGTTCCTTCTGCACAGGTTTGCTTGTGTGTTGTGTCTGTATCCTCAATGGGATCTTGTATTTGTTCTGTGTCAGATTTTGTGAAAACTGTGGGCCATAACCCTGTGTCACTATGGTGATGGGTACTGTCTTTCATTACTCACATTCAATTTCACCACATCATCATCCACAGACATGTTACACCATCCTCCATTTCAGATAGGGGTAAGTTTTCATACAAAAAACTGATTCCAAATAACACAACACCATACGTACATAATTGCTTTAATATGAATTTCTCTTCCAGGGTAGTGTTCCGAATGTTCAAATGTTGCGTTGGCATGTGTAAGCATGACAGTCACACACTCAGCATAGTGAAGATGTATTGGTATCATGTTGTTCATGGCGCTATCTCCTTTACAGTACGAGATAACTACCATTACCTGACATCTGTGCTGAGTATGTTTCTGTCATGCATTGGACAAGTTCTTACATTTGGTTTTGTTGTTGCAGATCCTTCAGAAGAAGCCTATGTACATCTTGATATACACCTTCATCCAGCTCCTCCTTCATCAGCTGCGACGTCTAACTTTGACATAACACATATACTGACATGATCATATCACTGGTATTGAACTATTGAGTTCCTACCAATGGTAATCATTTGCTGTTTAGTCTTGTTTCAAAATTAATACTAACACCTTTTGCCTAACAGACTGGCTTCATGAATACAAATTGTTATTTGAATAATCATGATGTTTCAGAACTAAGTACATTTGAATTTCCTGTGTCAGGTAGTCCGAACAGATTTTGAAATGTATCTCTTTAAGATATTTGTCCCAATTCATAAACCAGGTAAATTCTCCCAAATGCTTTTGCTCCTTTGCTTGCTCTGCATTGCTCTGCATTGCTCTGCTTGGCTTTAATCAGGCTGCTCCTGATGCTTCAACATTGTGCTTTCCTTTGTGATGTTATTGTATGAGTTGTCTTTTCAGCCATAATGATTCCACTCCCAGGAGGTGAAAGGAAAGGTATGAACATTTCAGCAAACTAATTATAAGTGACAGTTTTAGGAAGCAGTTAGATTGGATAATAATCTTCATTGGTTAAAGATTTGATTAAGACTTGACATTTCAGTAGTAACTCACCTGGCCTAAAAGCCATGTGAGCTTATGTCATTGAAAGTTGTCTGCCACAACCAGCCATACATTTCTGACTTCTCTGAAATGCCTTGATGGTTTCAGCTTCATGTTGTTACAGGGTTCAAGTTTTTCAAGGTATCAAAATTGAAAATTTCAATATAGGTGCAAGGTATCTTTGATTAAACATAAGAAAAATTCAAATGTCTCTTCTAAAAAGCTTAAAGGGTCAGAGGTTTGAAACTTGGTAGGTGAGATGGTTACCTTGCGTAGTACCAGGTTTGTTTAAGACTTTTATACCATGGCAGCCATATTGCAAAAATATTTATGACTATTGTTCAAAATGTTGACCACCGCACCGCCGCTAAATAAAATATGTGGTTGTTAGCAGTTTGTTTTTTGCAATAGTTCAAGCTGTTATTGATCACAAAAACAGTTCCATGTAAGAGTCATTTTCAAGGAAATATTTTTAGACTGACAGTCTCTTGAAACAATATATCCTTGTACACTCTTCAGTACAGGGAAAATATTTTCCTCTTGTTGCAGATTGTACAGACACTAAGATGGACCTTGTCTTTGTACTGGATGCATCAACCAGTGTAACAGAAAAGAACTTCAAACTCATGCTGGATTTCTTGAAATTCTTCCTTATCCCTGCTAACATTGATGATGATAAGGTCAGGGTTGGTGTGGTCATCTACAGTACGAAGGTCTCCATCCAGTTCCAGATGAATCAGTACATAGGTCAGAAAGGAGCGCTTTACAAGGCCATTGACAACATACCTTATGAATACGGAAGTACCAATACCTACGGTGGACTGAACATTATGAGAACCCAAATGTTCTTGGCAGCAGTAGGAGACCGACCTGACGTGAAAAATTACTGTATCCTAATCACTGATGGTGTGTCGAATATCAATGCCAGAAGGACAATTCCAGAGGCTGTGAAAGCCAGAGATGACAATATCCATATGTATGTTATTGGTATTGGTCTGACAGACACCAAGGAAATTGATGGAATTGCCTCCCCACCTGTTGAAGAGAACAGATTCACTGTTCAGGAGTTCAGTGAGCTGAAGAATATGAGAGATCAAGTCTTCAACTCTCTAAGGAAGGGGTGTCCAAGTAAGATTTTTCCATCTACCATTATTATCCTTTTATCAATATGAAATGCTTTAATATCACATGTTTGACACCACATGACAGGAAACAGTATCAAGCCTAACATATGAATAGGGATTAAATCTTTCTTTAGTTGAATTGCTTCTTTAGAAATGTGTATTTTTATTATTATAAAAGATAGTCAAACAAAATGTGTTCTCAAGAAGATGATTTATTACTTGGAAACTTGGATTCATAATTTTCAAAATTTGGAGATGGAACTTTGATGTCCCGTAAAGAAATGACATCTCAAAATACAATAGGTCAAAGACTGAGTCTATTTTTTACATGACATAATAAAAGAGACAAGCTTTATTTTTAGCTCACCTGACTAACAGTCAAGTGAGCTTTTGTCATTGCACGTTTTCCATGTCCACATCTTCTGTGAAACTTCAAGGCCTATGAAACTTAGCATGCAGGATACCAGCTCTTGTGTCTCCTGAATTTGCCTACAGGGTCCTAATCCAATTTTAGACATGTCTCCAATGACAGACATATTTACCCATTACTGAGCCATTTCTGCATCTTTCTGAAATTTGACTACAAAATATGTTAAGGCATTATCTGTTGTCCATTACATGTTGGTCAGGCCCAGAATTGTTATGCATATAGTTAGATCACAAGGGTGAAATGTCAAGTGCTCCAACGGTATAACAATGGGTGATCTTTTTGTTCCAAAAGGCAATAACTCTACTTTTGAAATGATAAAAGCGACGGTCCAACCTGTCGCTTCCAGTCTGGTTCCCGGATCTATTTGCCCTGCGACAACTAGTGACATGGAGAGACAGAGCCAAGCTAAAAGTTTACGTTTACTACTGAATATATTTCACATATTTTGTAGTGATTATTAGTTTAGAATGTCAGCATTTGTTCAGTCTTCATGAATTGACAGGATTCAAGATAGCAGTAAAATCGCCATAAAAACGGTATATTGCCAACATCAGAAAACAGCGAGATATTGTGTCATCGCATCGGTGAAATAATGCAAACTCGTTCTATTTATCAGCCTTTGTGTTATTTCCCACAAGTTCTCAAAAACTGCAGCATGCAAATCTAACAAATAGTTTTCATACTAACATGGACTTCAATGTGATAAAATTGGAGGTACGCCTACATTTGCAGCACACGAACATCTTTGACAGGCCTTTACCACAGATTAATAATTATTATACAGCTGTGCCTTTATTAATAATTGAAGAATAAATAATGTTTCAGAATAAAACATATGATTTAAATGTTACTTTATATCAACATTTCCTCTCACATCTGATTTTATGGGGTATTTTTACTCTGACAATATTATCAGATATTTTTTTCACAACATAAATGCAAATTTAACCCCACAATCATTCCATGTAGATATGTCTAAATGCATTTATTTTTTGTTATTTATTTTTACATTTTATTTTAACCATCGTCTATTTGACAACAGATGATGCCTGGACATATTTTACTTCTAATATATTCCATCCTGTATTGTCTTATAATTGATTTTATTTAAGAACTAAATAACCAGTCGGAGATGTTTATCATACAATAAAACTGTGCAGGGAGAATAAATCATGAGGGGCACAGCCCCGAGTTGTTTATTCTCCCTACATTACTTTCAGTAATGGGTTTGCCTGGTCCAGACTCTCTTAGATATTGGCTGCCATGGTAGAGTTTGAATAATATGAACTGCAGCATTAAAGAACATTCGCACAATCCAAACTCGCAGAATGTTGTTTAATGAGACAACAATGGCAATCCCCAACTTGCTCACTATTCTGTAGTACATGCCAGCTCAAGACCAAAACTGTTTGTTTACTTTCAGTTCCTATTCCAGTGACTCCAGCTCCCAAGAAGCGTCCAAGTAAGTAAGCTTTGAGTTAAAATTTCACAACTTTTGAGTAAACTGAAACTCATTTTCCAAAAGTTTCAACTGTTAATTAAAAAGGCAATAAACTGATTTATGACCATTACAGTTATTTGTAACTTTGTAACATCAACTTTTATATCAAACTGCACATGAACAGATTTATATACTTTCATGATAATTTCAAAATAGTTTTAAACATTTTGCTTTCATTTATATATATAGTATGTTGATAGTAATGCCTGATGTGTATTTGTGTACTGTTTCTATGTTAATCTTGTTAATGTATTTTAGCTGTGTGTACATGTGTTGGCGTTTCCTCTGTCATCCTGTCATTGTCTGAGAGTGACCACTACCGCTGTCTAAACACTGTCATGGTTGGTGGTTGCATAGTTGTATCTTATGACTGTAGCGTTGTACATGTACCAATATACTGTATCTATATGTTCAGTGTGACTGTCCATTTCTCCAAGTTTTGTCTGATGTATTTGTGATTCTCTTTCTTCTTAATCATGGTCAAAGATTAAATGCTACTGTATGTGTAAATATGTTCCAGTTCAGTACTTCAACTGTAAATTCTCTGAGTTATTTTTCTCTATTTCACTTTGTCTAGAGCAACTTTGTCCATGTTCAAAAAGATATTTATATGGTAGAAAATATGTTTACAGAATGTGGTGTATAGGCAGCTAAATGTACAACTTGAGACATGTATGGTAACGCCAATAGCATAAATGATTGCTTACATAAAGAAACCAATTTCAAGATACAGAAAGCAAAAGAAACATGATATTTTGAAGAAAATTCTTAAAAAAGATATTTTTCTCAGGGAATCAGATTGGTTCATTTTCTGGGACATTGACTGTATGTCATCCAAAATGCCCTA